CCACCCCACCCCTCCCCCAACCCGGACCCCCTCCTCTCCCGGCCTCTTCCCCGGCGGACCCCCTCCCTTTTTTTTTTCCTCCGCGGGCCCGAGATATGGCAATGGTAGTTAGCAGCTGGCGAGATGCGCAAGAGGACGTGGCCGGGGGCGGCCCCACCGGAGCAGCTCAGCCGGGCCGGGATCCGCAGCAAGGGGCCTCGGCGGCCCCCCACACGCCGCAGACGCCGAGCCAGCCGGGCGCCCCGTCCACGCCGGGAGACAAGGGCCAGCAGCAGCAGGGCTCCGGGCAGAGCCAGCAGCAGCAGCAGCAGCAGCAGCACATTGAGTGCGTGGTCTGCGGCGACAAGTCCAGCGGGAAACACTACGGGCAATTCACCTGCGAGGGCTGCAAAAGTTTCTTCAAGCGGAGCGTCCGCAGGAACTTAACGTACACTTGCCGGGCCAACCGGAACTGTCCCATCGACCAGCACCACCGCAACCAGTGCCAATACTGCCGCCTGAAGAAGTGCCTCAAAGTGGGCATGAGGCGGGAAGGTGAATATGATTTCCTCCCTATTCTACTCCAGCTGGGGTATGTTGAGAGCAGGTCCGTGGAGGGGGGGAGATGTGCTACCCCCGTCCTCTTCGTCCCCGCATCGCAGCTCCCCACTCCGTCCGCAGATTATTACTGTTCCTATTATTAACGTCAGCACCCAAAACCACCGAGCCCCATGGCGCTCCGTCTCTCTGTCTCTCTCTCTCTCTCTGTCTCTCTCTGTCTCTCTCTCTGATAGTTTGGAACTGGGGAAGAAGCAAAGGGGCAAATAAGCAGCCCTTTCTTTCGATGTTGACTTCTCCTACCTCTTTTTACTATTCCCAATTCCTGTTAAAAGGGGGAGAGTGGTGGGTGGGGATCCTAACTTCAGATGAGCCAAGCTTCCTCACCTCCCCAAAGAAATGTATTTCAGGGATATGTGTGTGTGTGTGTGTGTGTGAGAGAGAGAGAGAGAGAGAGAGAGAGAGAATTATGCTGCTTGTGTTGCTTTTTTCTGGTGTCTTCCTGATCTGTTTAGCTACTGCTCACTTCCCAAGATCTGGCCTTTGTCATGGTTCCCCTCTTCCCCTCATGCTTTGGAAGGAAAGTTTGTGAATGTGCTCTGCTTTTATACTTCTGTCATTTCACCACCCCCATCCCTCTGCTGCTGTTCATTTCACTTCCCTACCAAACCCCATTGTCTCTTAAATACTACATACCAGTTGCAAACCACCCCCAAGTCAATGACTGCTGATGTTGTTGTTGTTGTTGTTACCATAAAGCATAGCTTATTTCTGGATTGTGCTGGTCAGTGTTTGAAAACAAACACAAATACTTCCAAGTGTTGTAATAGCTAGGTCCTCCCCCCCCCCCAAAGAGAGCAGCCCTTTATTTGTAATATTTCTCTGTCTACTTTTTTCTTTT